AGTTCAAAATGTAGAGAAAACATGGAAAAAATTACGGAACAATGAGAAAAGGAAAAATAATAATAGTAATAGATTTTTATTATGTTATTATTTTTATTACTATTATTTTTCATTTTCCTTTTTTCATTGTTCTGTAATTTTTTCCGTGATTTAAACTATTTTATGAGTTCTATTTACTTGCAGCTTATGCGCAGTAAATAAAATTGATTGCTTTTCTTAATTTTCTTTGTTTTTTTTTTCTTTTTGTGCTTTTTGTACTTATTTATTATGATATATATATATATATATATATCGTCGTTGTTTTCGTATGCCTTTTTAGGCAGAGGAGGCGATTGTTCTTGTTTTCCAGTGACGCCATCTATGGCCAAGAATTCGACTTCTACCACATCCGTTTATAGCGTGGACCCAATCATACATCCATTCATTCACAGATCGTAATTTTGACCTAAATCAGAGAACGATCGATCTCCAATCCAGTACCCCCAGACGTATTTATTTGTTATGGGAACATGGAGGACTTTGCGACTCGACTGATTTAACGGGCATCAGTCACGTGCATATATATATATATAGTGAACATTAACATCAAAATATGAATAGTTACATAGTGTATTTAATATAAACATTTCATGTGGTTGCTAGGCGTTGATAAAAAAATGTGTCTTTCATGTTTGGTGTGAGTATGTTTTGAATAAATGAGACCAAAGATTATAAAACTAAAAATTTATTATCACTTTTTGAATAAGCGATCAACACAACAAGCTCCTATGAAAATTTTACAATGCCAATGAACAAATTACTTGTGCGTATACTAACCTATAGCTTTACAATTTTACACCACCTCTCATCTCTCCAATCATTTTATGAACACGATCATAAATAGTATTCACACAAGTGCAAGGAGGGGGGTCAGCATGAATTATTTCAAGAGATTCAAAAACATGATATCAAGATTACGTTGGAAAAAAAACTATTTGGCTTGATACAAAGTTAACGTAGTTGTTCAGAATTTACTCTTTCGTATCGTATAATCTTAATAAACAAGACCAATCAAAAGCGTTTATTAGATTCTGAACAATTTCTTTTAGACACGAGAGGAAACACTATTCCTTTATTGTAGAAAACGGTGTTCAGTAATCACAGTCCATAATATATATTTTTAATAATGAATTGTTTTGAATGATCGAAATATTTCCAATTTATGGATAAATTTCTGAATAAGTAATAATTTCAACATAATCCATTAATTAAGGTTATATGAAGCAGACCTGACAACTTTTATTCTTTCCGAGGAAATATTTCCCAAGGGGCTAATTGAAGTGCATTGTAGATCACATTAGAATAATATTAAATCATATTTCAAAATCCAAGAATTAAAAAGGAATTTACAAGATTCATAACCACTTTAAGTATTAAAATGAAATAGTACATACAATCCTTAGTTGTTGGCAGTATCAATAATAGTTGTAGTTGGTATTAAAGCATTTTATAGATAATTTATGGAACTATTATTATTGATAGTGTAATTTTAAAAAAGTAACTATGGCGCTTTAAAAAATAAACACAATATCTAATATTTCCTTAAAGTAGCTGGACGTTATATAAACTGATCCCTTTTCACGAATTCAAAAGTAAAGCAATGTGTTCTTTAATGTCAGCCTTCATTGTATATATTTCAAAATAATAATTAATGATGATAAATTGCTACGAACATTTAAAATTCTGTTTTTTAGTCAAATCCTTAAAGGGTATTTTTCAAAACTCTTGCACTTGGAAGAAGAAAAAACACACACTTCAAGTATCTTAAACTGGAAGCAAAGCTATATTTTAAAATAATTTATACCACCTTGCCTTAAAAAAGTGTCTGGGCTTTAGAAGCAACTTCAAAAATCGTAATAGGTTAATAAAAAGTCCCAATTATCAGAACCCTTTTTGACTATTCAGCGGAACCTTATGGTTCCGCAGCACAATATAGCGAATAACCTGCTATATTTATAACTGTAGAGAGTTTATAACAGTTATTCATGAGTGTCAGGTTGCCTATCTCTCACTAGTGCCCTGTAAACTTATTATGAAAATGGGGTAAAATGATCCCTTCCAATTAGTAATCCATTATTTATTTAACATTTTAGCCATTTTTATGACATTGTTAAATTGAAATATTTGAGAAGAAAGAAATTTCAAAACAATGTAATTCTAATAACAATATAACATAGGAATTAGGAAAAGTATATATGTTTTTGACAAAAATTCTATTTTGCATCGATTAAAAAATAAAAAAAACTGAATGAAGAATATGTTACTCTAATAATCATTCTCGTTGTTTTTTTTTCTCCTTTTTCGTTTTTATTTTAATATAAACCATGTCTTCCATTTTTTTTAGTTTATGCATGCAATAAAAACAAATTAAGAACTAAACTATAAAAACCAGATCTGCGAATTCAACTGTCTGAAATAAAACCCAATTTTTAGACTAATATTGATAAACGATATGATGAAAAAAAAAATCTTCATTCATTCACTTAATATTTTTAAAATAACTAATAATATTACAGTCATTTATTTTGAGAATAATTAATAGTCTTTTGTTAATTAATATGTTCACAATTGTTGATGAAATTTTTTCCATTACTTCTCAGGATTCCGCTAAAAGAGGGTCGATCATTTAAGGTTCCTGAGACAAAAAAAAATTTGGTACCGCTGTTTTACGGTGATTTGTCTGAAAGCAATTTCTTTACTTATTCATTAACTTAGTATTTGTTTCATTTTATTAATTTAAATTAGTAAAATGAGACAATGAAAGACTATTCATAGAAAAATAAAATTCATTAAAGCATTTTTTTTTATTTATTTAATGATGAAATTTCGAATTTCAAGGTTGTAAGCATATTTTAAAAATTCTACTTAGAAAAAGTTTTAAAAGTATTTATAAAATTGGAATTTAAAATTTTGAAAATCAAGTACAATGGAACGTATTTCACCGAATTAAATGAAACCAAAAATGTTATTCAATTAAACTAAATGAGGAAATTGTGTTTATGAAATTCCCCGCCTGTTTAACATGGCAGAAGCAAAATCCCTTTTCTATTGGTAGCCGCAGTAACTGAACAAGTTTAAATTGTTTAAAAATAAAAAATATGTATAATACTAATCTGCAAACATGAATTGCAAACAATTATTTACATAATAATTTGAATATATTTTTTTGTGAAAATAATTTCAACTGATTCTTGATCTTTCAAACTGGACCCTGTGTAGGGACAGTTTCAAACAATAACAATATCAGTTTATAAATGACGTAACAACGATTATAAAACAAAACAAATATGGACAAAAAAATAAATAAACTTTCATAGCAAAAAAATAATAAATTCATGCTGACCTTATTATTTGTTTTACATGGATACACCATCTGAACAGTTTGTTCATTAAATATCACCACAGTAACACACACACACAAACACTTACATACATGTATATAATTCGGAAATTTAAGCGTATTCATTTCTCAAGGTTTTAATTGAGTTTTCATTTTGCATTTCAAATGGGCAAAAAAAAAAAACTATTTGGAACGGGTAAGGAAAAGCTCTGTCCTCATTCGGCTAATAAAAAGTAATCATATATATATATATATCTCATAGCAAGCTGTGATAATTCGGTAATGTAGGCTAGTTCACATCTCAAAATTTTGAAGATAATTTTTTCTAATCACTGCACATCAAATGGGTAAAAAATAATTCTGATAAGGAAAAGCTCTTTCTTCATTCAGCTGATAAAAAGTAATTACAGTCGGACTTCTATTCAACGAACTTCCATTTTGCGATTTTTTTTCTAGGGACCACCAACATTTTGGAAATTTCTTCGTAAAATTAGCGAAGTGAATTTTCTACTTGACGAACTTTTCTTTGAGATGCCCTTTCCCTATTTCCCAAAATATTTCATCACATTTCAAACTTGTTAACACGTTTCATGGGAGAGATGATTTTCGAAGCCACTTAACATTTAGACAAAGCAGTAAAATCCCTTTCCCATTTTGTTTGCATTTCAAACGAAAAACTAACGGATTTTATCAGCAGCAATCAAACTTAAGAATGTAATGTATGTTTAAGATTACTTTTGTAACATATAATCTATAATTTTATGCATAAATTTATCTTTATTTCTGTTGAAAATGTATGTAGCATGATAGTGTAACACTGGATAATGTTTTTCTTTATTCTTGTTTTCCATGCAGATTTCTTTTATGGTTTAAGATTTATAAAATAAATAGTAGATACTAGTTTACGAGATAAATGTGTATCCATTACTATTTTAATTATGCCTGGTGTTTATGAATTTAAAACCTGTTTTGTGTCGCTTAAGTATTTTAAAAGGTGATTTTCTATTTAACCAATTTTCCCTATAACGAACTTATCATCGGTATTTAGCGACTTCGTTAAAAAGAGGTCCGACTGTCTATGTTTCCGATAAAAAGCCGTGATGATGCATCACAACAGTAAAGATATTTGTGAATAATTTAAGCCTAATGAACACACTCAATTACTAATTTTATAAAAATTCAAAATGGTGTATTCCAAAAAATTAAAAAAAAAATCTATATATAGGGTGGCATTCTGTGTCCACTTAGGAACTTGCCGATACTTTTGCAAAACCTACATTTGCGGTCGACTTCAGACATTTTTTTTAAATAAATAAATAAAATTAGGCTCGAATAGCGAGGAGCCTGAACAGACTAGACGAGTTGCGAAAAATATATTGTAGTACAATCACAGGTCAGTTAAATGGCTGTATGGATCACTTTTAATGCATTGAACGAGAATAGTAATTGGAGATTCATAAAAAAGATTCTCTTTTTTTTCCCTTTTCATTTGAGTTGTGGCAGCAGCAACAATTCATTTTTGTACGCCTGGCAGTGATGAAGGCATAAATAATATCACAAATTTTGCGTACAACACTTCTGGTATCCATCTGTTACGGAATTTCTCTTCCTTTCCGTAGAATTGATACATTCCAAAATCATCGATCGGTTTGGGTTCTTAATTATTTTGCATGGCGTATATTACTTAATTTTTGCAATATTAATAAATAATATTTTTTTAAATGATCATGAGACAAAAAAAAAACTTTCCTTATACGGAGATAATATTCATAAAGATACTTGAAGTATCCTCTTGAGGATGAAAAGTATCGTATTTTATGGATTTGTTTTGATGGTGCATTATCCAAGATACTTCTTCCAATAAAAGAGATTTTTTAAGTAAAAATTTAATTACATTTATAAATCCTTCTCGTTCAAATAAATAATTTGGATGCAACTTTCTAAGTACCACAATGACAAGTCAGACGACGAAGACTAAGAGCATCCGCATCTATCGACCACCATCCCTGGAAGCATTCCGTATATGATGTTAAAGTCAGAGTCAAAGTAGAGCATGGAGATGGAGGACATCTTTCTGGGTGCACAACAGGGTCCGGCCGACCCCTGCGGATTGGCCTGCTGTACCAAATGCGTGTGAGGATATTTCTGCAGAAAGACGTACGGGCACTCTCCACTGCAGTAGTTGGCCTCGTATCTCTTGGGCGCGATGATCCAGTCCCAACCGAACTCTTCGAAATCAACCGTCAGGGGATATCGGCAGCATCTCACCTCGTCAGCGTTCTCTTCGCAGTTCAGGCCGATCATTCGTTTCAATCGGCGCGTACGCTGCTTTTCTATTTTAGTTTCTATGAAGGGTTGTTTCTGCAAAAGAAAAAAAAACTTTGCGTTATTGCTTCGTTTAACAACAGTGTAATAACAAGTAGAGATCTAAATACAGAAATTAAAATAATCACCATTAAGAAATTCAATTTAGTGTACGAGGCATGTCCGGAAAGTAAGTACCGTTTCGGAAGAACTTATATAATTCTTTTTTATTCAGAACAAGGTTTCTTTTTACACGCAAGAGGATTTCGTAAACTATTTTTCCACAACCATTACTTAGATATTTTTCATAGCAAGGAACGAACTTGTCCAAATGAAGATGCCGCCAGTAAAATGAGTCACAACTGAGCACCATTTTTTTTGCATTGTCATTGTTATCAAAGTGCCACACTTTAAAATCATGTTTCCTATTCAAAAACAAGTGATAGTCTGAGAGTGCGATGTTGTGTCTGTACGGCGGGTGATAGAACTGCTCCCAACCGAATTGTTGAATAAATCTAAATCTTTAAAAGACACCAGCAGAAGGATACTGAGTATTCTCTGACTATTGTTTTGAATTGCACGCCGCAGTTTTTACAATGCTTCAGAATACTGTACAGCATTGATAAACCGTATTGTTAAACACATTTCACACGCCCGGATCGGTAAATGTTCGAAATTTTTTGATCGCTCACTAATGCGTGTGCAAATGGAGAGACAGTCAATTCGAGAAACGAAAGCGCATTGGTGGAACTTGAACACTTTTTGTGACTTACGCTTGATTAAGTGACTAGACATACTTCATTCGTAACGATTTATTGGTTAGCAATTGTTTAAAATGGTTGAGATATAATGGTTCGACGTTGAAGCATTTTTTTAAAAAATGCATGACATTTTGTACTTACTTGTTGTCGTGTCCCTCGCAAGTATTCAACAGTTGCTGCGCATTGCAAATATATATATATCTATATCTTAGTACCCCGCTAGGTTCACAAGAGCATTGGATGAGACAGACCTGCATTGGCGACAGTCATTCAAATTGTCATCGTTCCTGCAGAGGAGAATGCAGCGATTTGCGAACTGGCACATGATGGCACGGACTGACAGAGGAAAATGCACGAGCAACAGAAACATCCGGCACCGGTTGTTTGTTAATTTGCATCGCAATTTGAACCTAAGTGACGATACTTTTTAAAAAAAGCTTTTATTAAGTAATTTTTAAATCCTTTTAGGATGAAAGGTTTGAAACTGCAATATTTCTGCGTTACTGAAAAAAGGTTTTTAGTACAAACATTTTCATGACAAAAAAAAAGAAAGTTCCGACACTAGGTTGCCGTAAGGTTTACATGCTGCCTGGGTAATGTATGCAGTGTGACCTAAAAAAGTTTAAATACATTTAACTTATAGCTGAAAATATAAAACGTAAAAGTGATCAAAATAAGGCAGGATGACTATGTTGATGGAACTATGTTACAGTTATTTTTCAAAGAGTTACAAAAAATTTATGATAAAGATAAACAATTCAGCATTTATGCCATTTTACAAATAATATCCAAAGTGATAAAGCTGAACCAATGCCTCTCCCTTACTCACGAAAAAAATTTCAATAACTTTAAAAAAAATTTGTTTCTTGCTTTTACCCGAAGGCATTGGTAACTCCTAAGTTTTACCACAAAGACTTGGTGAAATCCGAAATATTAAAGCATACTTCGGAATTTTATCGAGCCAAGTTGTATTGATAAAAACTAGGATTTATCAGACTTCGGGGCTTTTACAGTAACAGATACATTGTTTTTTTTTAAACTTTGTTTGAGCTCCAAACCAAGAGAATTAGCATTGAAAAATTTAATTGTCTAGTACTAGCCGGTATGCCATCTAAAATTACTCAACTAATTACATGGGAAACTGAGAATAACTTAATGATTAGATAAGAATTGATGTAAGCGACCCAGGCTCTGAAAGCCCATACGCTGGATCGAGTTACACAGACTATAACGATAATAGCAATAACAACCAATGGAGCCCAAGAAAGGGACAGACAGTTCAAATTTTAGTGATACGCGAAGATTCGATTGAATTGGAATGTCGGAAAGTGTCATTCAAATTGCTTCTGCATCAGGCGAAAATGAAATTGTTGCATTGAAATTGTTTAGTCTAAAAATGGATGATAGTTCGAGCATTTTTTTTTTGCCTATTAAGTGAACAGTATCTAAGCAACTTGTGAGCGGCATTCTGATTTGTGATTGGTGCCTATGAGCGTTTATTAGAGGATATCCAATCGTATAATTTTTACCCGGAGATTGAAGAAATTGGATGCACTGTCCGTGAAAAGAACGACTCAGCTCTTGAAGATGATGAAAAGTGTAAAGTTGGACTGATCACCCATGCATCTGTCAAGAAATGTACCATGTGTAGTAATCATTAGCATACTAAATCATTTATTCATTACTGAAGCATATTATAACCATCAGCATATTAGCTCTATGCATTGTTCATGGAGCACACATTGTCGTTTTTTCTATTGTCACACAAAAAGTATTATTTTGATAATAATGATTGCTTCGATTCCAGCCGGCCGAAGACTCCCTGTGTAGAAAATGGTGGCGGATGCATGTTAAATCTGTCGAGTTGCAAATTCCTTCATGTTCTCATAACAAATCAATATCTCTGGGGGTACTGTTCGAGGAGTCTAATTGTCTTCTGGATTGCTTTAAAATGACAAGTGTACGGAGTTGAACATTAGTAGTGGTAAACTCAATATTGGGTCGGCTGTTCAACGATGGATATAAAATAATGATTGCTTATGTTGTTTCCTAACTAACAAATTGTCTGTATAAAAAAAAGTACGTTAAAGAGCAACTGGTCTCAAAAACCACATTACAAAAGGTAGTTAAACAATTTTTCTTGGAAATAAAACACTCTTCAAAGCATAAATAGGATATCTAGAAAGTGGTGTTTTTAAATTTACCTTTCCTGTCTGAGCTCCGCTCTCGTCGGAAACTCTCATTAAGTCAGCCATGTCGAGCCCCGTCGCATGAAGGAGGAATCCGACATCAGCTACTTGATGCTTTGACCAGTGGTTGATGACTTTCTTTACATCGAAAACTATCCAGTGTCCATGCTTGCTCTTCCGGTCAAAAGTCTTGCGCTTCAACTGAAAAAAAAAACCCTTTTAATTTCGAGACAAATCAATGCATGAAGATTCAACGGATGAATTTCAAATTAATTTCATTTACATACGGGGAGAGATCCTGTTTCGAAATAATAAAAATAAAATACTGATATACAGTTGTACTTTCTGGGAAGGAACACTTTTTAAGGGATAATTCAGTTGTCTCCAGTCCCTTTCAATTTGTGATCGCAACGCTCGAACAAGCCACGTGGGGTGAAGATCGGTTCCATGTCTTGACCAAATCCCCTTCCCTCTCCTCCTCTTTTCAGTTGTATAGGAAAGTACAATGATATTTTAACTTTTCTTAATATTTTCCGTATTTAACTAGCAATAATGATTTTTTTTTACAATTCCTACGACGCTTTCTTTTAGAAATATGCTTAATGCAGTTTTCAATTCCATATAGTTTCCAAACTTAAAAAGTTTTTAATCCATTTGAAAATCAAGACAGAAATGAACGTACTTCCTTCTGCTATGACTCTCCACACGCTATTAGTGAAGTGTTGCCATAGGTAAAGTGTTTTGCTCAACTCCAGCTGTGGCTCATTTCAATTGCCAATAGAAGTATTAATGTGTATAATTTTTAATTTATTTAAGGGACACTGAAAGTGGTTCTTAAAATAAGATAGAAGTAAAGTTGAACGAAAATATTCTGTGTTATCCTTCTCTTTAAAGAGGGAATATGTTGGAATGAGTATCCCATCATGCAATCAATAGAAATCTCACATTCACAGAATATTTTGGGGGGTAGAGGGTGTGAGAATACTATAAAAAAAAGATGCATTACCATCCAGAAACCTTTTACCCCCTCCAAAGCTTAATGAGTTCCTTCGCCATAAAAAGACATTTCAAGAAAATGACCTGAATGACTCTAAGTATAATGCCTGAATGACATTTTGATGAAAAAACGTCTAGAAAAAAGTAGAAAGACTCTTGACGAATTGCCAACCTACTCACCAAATAATAAACTGAAATCGATGAAATTAGTATTTTCCCATCTGTTTCAACATCCGTAAGCCTTTGGACCAGAGTATAATCAGAAGCTTAAAATTCATTCTATAAATTTCTTTTTAATTTAAGTGGATGCTATATACTCTTTACGACAATTTATTTTCCCCTCTACCAGTAATTCGAAATATCGAAAAGGTGAGTTCAGGAAAACTAAGAAGTTTATGCATGCTGAGAAATTATTTCAATTAATGCAAGCAAATAATTGCAGAATTTCTTCCCTCTTGTCTTAATGAGATACCTGTCTAAGCTAGTCTCAAGGTGAAAATAATCTTAAATCTAGGTCATTATAAGGTTTCCTTTCGCAAAGTCTTGTATGCTCAGGCTAAAATCCACCTTGTCATGAAACTTTAATCTACAATACAATTTGATCCTATCTCTAGTGTGACATCAGCTAAAGCGTCATGATGGACCCCTAAGTGACAATCCTTTTTAAAAAAAGCTTTAGAAAAATATTTTTTAATCCTTTTAGAATGAAAGGTTTGGAACTGCAATATTTTTGCTTTATTAGAAAAAAGGTTTTTAGTACAAACATTTTGGTGACAATAAAAAGAAAATTCCGAAACAAGGTTAGATGCTTTCTGGGCATATTTATTGTCTATGGGATACCTGCAAGTGACGTAGGGTGAGGTATCTCGATCCTGATGGGTTGAGGCATTTGCTTAAGTTACCAACTGTTCTTTCCATTCCATTTCGAGAAAGCCAAGCCCGTCAAGTACCAATTCTCTTAAGTGACACATTCTATATTCTTTCACAAAGATTTTTTCTCAAAGATTTCCATTTTTTCACTCTATATTTACACAGAGACTTAACACAAAGACATGCACGAAGCCACGTGGAACATAAACAAACTAATGATGCGTCGAAGTTGCCAGGTACACAAAACAAAAATATATCACGGTTGCAATAAGATACATAAACATATAATAAATATAAGTTAAGTTAAAAGGGAGAGAATTATATTTCAACTCATTTGATGTGCGATACGGCTCTATATTTATTTAACTTTACGTTAATAACCGTTTTAACTTGCGTATAGAAACTTAGCCCCACTTTAATAATACGCCATTTTGCTGATAAAGATTAGTTGGCGTCATTGGTCACATGTGTGGATATGGGAGGTCTTCTTCTTCTTGAAGTGCAAGTACCCAATTTGTTAGCATTTTGATATATTTTTGTATTTGACACTTCATGGTTTATTTTTGGTTTGCTCGAACTCGCTTTTTTTCTACACTAAACATTTTGAATGACTTAAAAGAAAACAGAATTTGCCATGAAGCGTTCTTCCCGCGGTATGCTTCCTCTTAAGACGGCAATCATTTGAATGTTCACACGGGAAATAAAAGGCTTTTAATTCACAAACTTTCATTCAAACACAAAAGCCAGATTGTTTCAACACACTTTTGGTAGAAAAATCTATTGTTTAGTTCATACATTCTTCCAAAAATTAACCTTTTTTTTAATTGAGAAATTTAGTTTCAATTAAATACCTTAAACTATCTCACTTATAGGCAAGTCATTCAATTAAAGCTTCATACAGCGTGAATTTTTAACAAAACACGTTTTTTTTTTTAAAGTTTAGTTAGGGTCGTATCATATTTCTATTCTTCATTACTTTCAATTTCGTACAAAAAGCAGCACATTAAAAAAAAAAAAAAAATTGAAGTCAAAATTATGAGTGGATTTCCTTTTTTTTTAAAATAAAAATTTGTATTTTATAAATTAGGGGTAAAATTTGTATTTGTATGGTATAGAAACTGAACTGAAGACAATATTCTGTGGAAAAGTTTCCCTTTGAAGATTTTGAAGGAAAGACTATGCTTGTGACAACGGCTTGAAATAAAAATATAATATTAATATGAAATAAAAATATAATATAATATTAATAGACATATATCTTATATATATGTCTATTAATTTGGTCTAATTATTATAATATATTACCTGATATAATAAACATTCTATATTTATATAATATATCGTCTCATTTATATTATATATCGTCTAATACAGTGGTTCCAAAACTTTTTGTCTCGTAGACCCCTTGCCAAGTTTTCGGTTTTGGGTAGCCTACCTGATATAGCCTTCGGCCAACCTGATATTGAATTTTTGTAAACTCATCAACTTCAAATGTATTTTTGACAGCTGGTACAGTGCTACTTACTGTTAATGATTTAAATTTTTAACTGTAGTGAAGTGCAGTGTTAAAAACTTAAGAAACACATGTCGATTTTATACATTTATTAATTAAATTAAAATTAAAAGGAACCTAATTAAAATTTAGTATCTGTTATATGAAATAACTGAGCAATAAATAAATGCTTTCAGTGGGAGGGATAAACCTGATGCATTAATAATAAATTATTAACATTTGGCATCAATTTAGTTAGGTTTAATCTCCTCAGTTAATGATGTCCAGTCTGTTTCTTTTCTTTCTTTCTTCTTTTTGTGAGGATATTGGCAACTGTGATGAAAAACCTCTCAACTAGGTATGAAGATGGAAAAGCAATTAAAAAGTCTCTCGCAATATTCCATAATACGGGATAAGTATACGTGCATTATGTGCAAGTTTTTACAAGTTAAAATTATATTGAATGCCTACAACTGTCACAACTTTATGAAACATACTAATTTAATTTAATTAATATGTAAATGGAATAAAATAGTGCACTATAAAACCCCTACTTCGCTACTAATATTATAATTGCGGAAATAGGTTTGTACACAAAACCGTACTAGTGTATTGTCGGTCTATTTATTACATTTTTACGTACAAACTAAGCAGCAAATCTCTGTGATCTTGTGCGCGGATAAAGTTGGAGGTCTAACTAGCTAAAGAGTTGACATAGGCTAGGCTACAATTTACCTCTGAAAAATACTTTTTTGTTACATAATAAAACCTTACACGCAGGGAAAATAAAATCATTCCGTGCGGAGCTGCAGGCTAGTTTATAATAATTCAGTTTCTTGTATCAGAAAATAATCCTAATAACTTAAATTTTAATAAAATTTCTACTTCATAGCTACTTTTATAAATTATGTAGAATGTAGTAGATAAATACATTTCTTTATATTATAAGGTAGTAAGTAAATAGGTACTATCAATGTATGTTGATTATTCCATTCATGAAATGCCAAAATTAAAAGTCACGACCTGCTTATATGAGATCCACTATCGTTGACCGACATTTTCCTTTCATGGACCCCCAATTTTTAATAAAATAAAATGGATACTTTGCGATTGAAAGGTATATCATACAGAAATAGAACAGGAGAAAGTTGACTAATGCAAATGAAACGTGTACTAGAGAGTTTCTTTTTTTTTTAAATCAATAAGTAACTATACTACGATTTAAAAATAAGCATATTGTGGATAAGGACATGATTAAATGGATTTTGTTGGCTTCTTATGTAGTTAATTTAAAAATAGTAAATTCTTTATAGAAAACAAAAACTAATATTTTGAGAACAAAAATCCGAATCTGTCTAAAAATGGTTTTGCTTATTCATGGAAAGCTCATTTTTGCGTCTTTCGTATCTTAAAATATATTCTGCTTTAATTAATTAGAATATTTAAGGTTAGGGCTCTCGAACTATTGAGTTCTAGAACACGAAAATTTGATCATTATAACTAGTTATTAAGTTGTCCAAGTTTTTCTTTTCTCTTGCGCACTTCACAGTGTTGGAAAAATAAATGAACTGTAAATGCGAAACATGCAGATGAAGGTAGTTTGTATTCGCAAGGAATAATTCAGTTAGGAGAAATGATGCATTTCAAATTTCATTTCTTTTTCCATACGAGAATGATTTCTGAAAGAGGTTTCTCATTCAGAAAAGGTCGTCACTCCCAGAATGCAACGGAAATTTAAAAAGAAAAATATTGACCGAACGACTCAATTTGTTTTCTAAAAATAAATATCGTCTGAAAAGGGTAAATCATTAAACAGACGACGAGAGAGGTCATTAGAACTTCTTTTTTTCTCTTTCTACTGTGGCAGCAAAGCAGCACCACTCCCTTTTTAAAAACACCAATTAAATGTGGAAAAAAAAATATTATTCTTATTTATTTCTCAATAAGCTTGAAAAAGCAGTTCACAAAAGAAAATGTTTGGTAAAAACCTCCTCACTTCTTGGACAAAAAGAAGTCATCGATGAAAATAAAAAAAGAAACTTCAGATAGTTCTTTGTGTTCATATACAGTCCCTGGCCAAATTACTAGGCCTGCTGATCTAAGATTCTATGTAAAATCTTAATTATCAGTTGATACTCTATACAGCTTTATTGTTTTTTACGTGACTGTTTGCAATTGTTTACGTTTTGTGTATCAATAGGTGTAAATGAGACGATAACATAATATAAATTTGACGATAGGATACATTAGACTATTATATGAATATAGAATATTTATTATATCAGGTATTATATTGGTATACTATAATAATTAGACAAAATTATTAGACACATTGTAATTTTTTAATAATGACATGATTTGCACGAGTATATTTGCAATACTTTTATATTTAAACATACGTGCCATGGGTTTTTATTCTGGAGATCGTTTATACACTTCCTATTTGTATTTATTTTTAACGTATTGCGTTACAATGTTAACCCATTGATGCAGGAGATGCAAACCGGTTTCATCGGAGTAAAAACAATGCAGATGTATAGTATCACCTGATAATTATTATTTTACATAGAATGATGGTGCAACATGGTATACCGTAAGCAAAGGGTTAAGGTTCAACACTGAGCTGTTTTTAAAGATAAAGTTGAACTTAGGTAAAAAAAATTCATTTTATTTTCAATTTATAATACGAGATACTTAGAAACTTGGCTGTTAGTAGTTTTGTAGAGTGCTGAACTTTACTGTCGCTTGAATTTGTCGAGTTCTTCTTAGAACTAAGTTGGGCCACATTATTGTCCTTCTTCATTTTCATTTTACACTTATCTGAGCCGTGGTGGCTCGCGTACCAATGAGTTGAACCGGGTTCACCGCACCCGCCTCGCACTGACCACAATGCTGATATAAAATATCCTCAGTGGTAGACGGATCATGGGTTAGAGTCCTCTTGCCGTTAGGCTTACAGTGGGAGGTTTTCGCAAATGTGGGTTAGTTCCATCAAAAATTTCCCCCCAAAATTTTCCAAAGCAAATTTTTCCCACTACTTGACCCATGAGTTCTCATATCTTTTAGATTGAGATTAAAATGACAAGGCTATGGAGTTTAACTTTGGTGGTCGTAAACCCAAAATCACGTCAATTGTTCTACAAAGGCTATAATATAATAATATAAAATTCTCTGTACCGGCATAGCCTGGTCGGTAGGGCGCTGGGCCCATGTCCGAGAGTTCGTGGGTTCTAACCCCGCCGACCGAAGACTCCCCGTGTAGTAAAGTGACTGATGCACGTTAAATCTGTCGAGTCGCAAAGTCCTCCATGATCCCATAACGAATCAATACCTCTGGGGGTACTGGATTGGAGATCGATCGTTCTCTGATTCCGGACAAAATTACGATCTGTGGATGAATGAATGGCTCCGCCCTATAAACGGTTGCGACGTATGGTGTGGCAGGAGTCGAATTATTGGCCATAGATGGCGCCACTAGAAAACAAGAACAATCGCACCCCCATATGTCAACAACAACATAAAATTCTCTTTTTCAACTTTAACGAGTATATGTTTCAAATCAAACACCTTAATAAGGTTGCCATAAATTTGCACCCTCTATAGGTTTAACATCGAATCGACCGAACACTATTTTTTCTAAACTTTAAAGGTTCCATTAAGCAAATAAAATAAATTTTCAAAGTTAATTTTCAAAGTATTTATCAGTAAGTAATTATTGAAGATACCCGCAACAACATGATATTATTACATATCTTCATATAACATAAAAACATAATGGTATAATACAGTTTTCATTGTATTTCTATAGGCCGGAAATTCACATGGTGGAATATAGTTTTCCTACATCCATCCATTCTTTTTGGTTATGAAGTCATAAAGGTATTGTTTTACCATAAAATATTTTTGTATCCTTAACACAAAAATATTTTACCTGCAATATTGATTTTCCTTATTTTGCTCTGCTATTATCACTTTTTTGATTTTGATTGCTTTCTCAATTAAGGGTTTAAAACTAAAACAGTTGTTTCTTTCTTACGAATGTAATTTTATGGCATGACCTCATTTTCATACATTTCAAAATAAACTTATGAAACGTTTAACAATTATTATTTTTTGGTGTCTGATTTTGCCACTTGAAATATCGACCATACAGATTAATTACCCTATTAAAAGGCAAGCCTCTCGAATTGTTAAGAATACATCTTAGTTAATTGAAAATCTGACCACTAGATTAAAACGCATTAAGGTGTTTATTTTTTCATTCTATGTATTACACGGTAGTAAGTTACATTTCATACATCAGGCAAATCCTATAGATGTAATAATTGACTATAGATCTATTTTCATAGATGTGTTTATAGCACCGGAACATCGTTTTTGAAAGTAATATTTGAATGAAAAAGAATCAATGTGGAAACGACATTCGATGAACACAAGCTGACAATGACGATATCACTTCAAAATAAGACGTGATGGCTCAGGGGATAGAGCGTTCGCCTTCCAATCAGGTGAACAGGGTTCGAATCCCAGCGATGGCTGGCCGATACGAATTCCGCATCCGGTTTACAACGACCACGGTACTGACGCAAAACATCCTGTGCGGTAGACGGATCGTGAATTAGAGTCAGACTAACCATGGGAGGTTTTTGTGGTTTTTCTCTCCATGTAACGCAAATGCTGGTTAGTTCCATCAAAATAACCTTCACGAAGACACATTTCGCCCAATACTTGATTCAGCAGTTCGCTTGTCTTCTGTATTGGAAGGGAACCGGTCTCGAATCCCAACGATGACTGATCGATACGGATTCCACACCCAGTTCGCACAGATCACAATACTAACGTAAAATATCCTCAGTGGTAGACAAATCATGAGTTAGAATCCCCCTGCCTTTGGGGTAACCGTGGGAGGTTTTGCTCATGTAACGCGGACTAGTTCTATCAAAAGTAAAGGCAAATTTCTCCCAAAACTTGATCCAGGAAGTTACCTTGGATTGGAAGTTAAAATTGCAAGGCTACGGAGTTAAACATTAGTAGTCGTAAACCCGAAAAATTGGGTCGGCTTATTCGAAGACAGTTATAAAATTGTGTGTTTAAAAAAAATATCACCTGTATGAGTTCAGAGTTGTTCTCCATCTGATAGAGTGTGATGTTGAGGGGTAGAGGGTGGTGGCGAGTCTGTCTCAGATAGATCCATAGCTGAGCTGATTGTATTTGAGCATGTTTCAAGCTGAGCGGCAGATGAAAGAAAAGTTGCTGGTCACCCACTTCTCCAATAGGAACTGCAGGTACTGCAACAGGAAATGGACATTACCTTCAAAAAAGACACAAAACAAAAGTACTAACTCAATAGACTCTTGAAGTTAACCTTCTCTCATTGAAACTAAATCTTTGAAACTTAAATTCATATGGGAAAATTATATTTGGTATTACTCACAATATGTAGACACAACAGTTATTATTTCATCAAAAACTCTTAAAATATATGAAAAACGAAGAATGAAAAATAGCATGGTAACAAACCAGTTAAAAATGAAGATCTAGGGATAAAAACAAATATTTATTCAACATGACACGTTCAGTTATTTTTCATTTAAACGTCCCTTATTTAGCAACCATTAAAACTAGTACATTGATTTAAATTATAATGCTCATAGAAGGAAAAATGGGCAAACAACGATATTCTGAAATTAACAAAATAAAAGTAAAATCACTCAGAGAATCTCTTTAAACGATGTTATGTACAGTGCACAAAATTAACAAAAAAAATTGAACACCTTGAATAACTTCTGATCGAATGAACGGATTTTCACGTAATAGGGACTCATTCACGTACTTGATATGAGAGTCTAACCTCATATACGCTAATTAAGCAAATAAGACGGTAGTTTAAGTCACGAAATCAGACTCAAAACTTTTTTTCTTCTTCAAAATTTGAATTTTTTGATCCTCAAAACATTTGATTTCGAGAGAGTGATCAAATCAGAAGAAATTAGTCAGGAGAGGGATCAGAAGTTTGTACTCCTTTCCCTTTTTGCATATCGAGTACTTTCAAAGTGAACGGAAACATTTTTGAACACAATAATCAATAATAAAATTTGTTTTTATATATATATATATATATTCATGGAATTTTCTTTGAATAAACGAATTTTATTATTGATTATTGTGTTAAAAAATGTTTCCGTTCACTTGATCTAGGTTTCTTTCTAGAAGAACTAAGTTCTTAATCCAGAAAACTCTTGTCCGGCCAGTCTTGACATACACTTCTGAGGCTTGGACAATGACAAAGCAGGAGGAAAATTGTATCGTAACATTTGAGAGAAAGATTTTGCGGAGTATACTTGGTGGTGTAAATGAAAACAATAACTGGAGATTTAACTTTGAACTGCACAAGTATTTTAAACGACCTGATATTATTAAATACATAAAAATAAATAGAACGAATTGGATAGCCCACGTGATTCGAATGAGTGATGACAATACAANATTGATTATTGTGTTAAAAAATGTTTCCATTCACTTGATCTAGGTTTCTTTCTAGAAGAACTAAGTTCTAAATATACAAAACTCCTGCTCGGCCAGTCTTGACATACGCTTCTGAGGCTTGAACAATGACAAAACAGGAGGAAAATTGCATCGCAACATTTGAGAGAAAAATTTTGCGGAGTATACTTGGTGGTGTAAATGAAAACAATAACTGGAGAAGGAGATTTAACTTTGAACTGTACAAGTATTTTAAACGACCTGATATTATTAAATACATAAAAATAAATAGAACGAATTGGATGGCCCACGTGTTCGAATGAGTGATGACAATACAATAAAAACGATACTGCTTTTTAGACCCACTGGAACAAGAAAGCGGGGAAGGCCGCCGTTGAGATGGGCTGACTCAGTGAAGTCTGATTTTCACGCAATTAAAAAAAGAATTGGAGATCAAAGGTGAATCAGAAGTCGTCATGGAGAAATCTTCAGAGGAAGGCATTGGCTCACATTGGGCAGTCTGGCCAACTATGATGATGATGATATATATTTCATGTGGCACTATAAACTTGGGTTTTTCTCTATTCTTTTGTGTGGTTGTGTAAAGTAATAATTTAAGCACTGTTAATTAGTTAGTTATAAGTTATGTATTTATTTAGAATAATTTTGTACTTTTATCGAAATAAAAACTTCGTTACGAAGTGATCATTTAGATTTATTTTTGATCTTTTCTAAAATGGCTGAAGAAATTAGAAGCATAAACGGTGCTATGATACGTTGTCATACTGATTATTTGTGAAGGAGCCTGCTTTTTTTTTCGAGCAATAGCATATATATATGGGTGATTCTCACAAAATATGACAATTTTCAGTCTCTTGCTCCAAAATCTAATACTATACTACTAAAATATTTTTCTTAAATTTTAATAAATAGCATTGCTGTTAGCATATCACCAACAAAATTTTTTTGATTCTTTCTACAGTGGATAAAAAGAATTAATTTAAGCAATTTATGGTCCATCTAACATAAAGGTCTAAGTTGAGTTACTTACTATTAACTTAAAATGACTATTTTTTAAAATTCTAAGCTAATATGTTATTTTCCTGGCATTCAAGATTTGACGAATTTCTATTTTATTTTTTTTCTCGAGCAAATGTCAATAAACTACACTGCTACCTGTAAGATGTTATAAGTGTAACTAAAGAAGTATAAAAAAAATTTTTAGATTATTTTGAAGACTTTAAATTTGAAGAAATTTTTTGGTCCGAATTGTCATGTTTCCAAAGAATCACCCATATATATCTAAAGCAATAGCATATATAAAGCAATAGCATATATAAAGCAATAGCATATCTAAAGCAATGGCATATCTAAAGCAATGGCATATATATAAAGCAATAGCATATTCGAGCAATACTTTCCAGGAGCTCTCTGTTCCACAGTAAAATGGTCTTAAATAGAGGTTGCCACCATAGATTTGTTATCGAGGCAAAGAAATTGTAATCGAAGGTATATGATTTTTCGGAAACGATTTCAATTTTAGTCAGTGTCATTTTCTTGGTGCGGAAATGCCACTTCTGCTGGCCTCACAAAACCTTATCGATGTATGAAATTTAGTGTCAATAAAAATGACCCTCACTCATATAATTATCAGTGTAAAAACAAATTTACCAATTATGAATGATATAAATATATTAAATAAACAAACAATTATGTCTTTGTGCAAGTTTGCACTTAATTTTTTTAAAAATTTTTATATTAAATTTAATTTTATTTTACATAAAAATTAATTAGCTTTAAAAGATGAGTAGAGGCTTGTTCGTTTGAGATGTGTAGTTTTTTTTTCTAATTTAACTTACAACTCTAAAAATAAATCATTAATAACATCATCATTTATTAAGCGCACTCGCACGCTAACTGCAACATGAAGTTGTAGCCAATATATAATTCGAAGAC